GATTTTTTACAAGGGCAGGGAGTGAGAGGGTGACAGGGAATGGCTTTAAACTGGAAGAGGGGAGATTTAGGTTAGACATTGGGAGGAAATTCTTTGCTGTGAGGGTGGTGAGACCCTGGCCCAGGTTGCCCAGAGAAGCTGTGGCTGCCCCATCCCTGGAAGTGTTGAAGGGCAGGTTGGATGGGGCTTGGAGCAACCTGGGCTGGTGGGAGGTGTCCCTGCCCATGCAAGAGGGTTGGAACTGAAAGGTCTTTAAGGTCCCAAACCAGCCTGTGATTCTATAATTCTGATATCTCCTTTTGAGGTGTTTCTATCCTTGAAAGGGATCTGGGTTTTCCTGGCCTGGCTTACACATGTATATCTTGTTGGGAGACTGTAGCTGGAGGGATAGATGCTGTTGGAGGCCATGGCAGGAGCTGGGGAAATGATGTTTGCATCCACGTGGGTGGTGACTGTTCTTCAGATTTGTGGGGTAGAATTGGTTTCAGCCTGTAGGAGCCAGCAGTGCCAGGCTGTGGCTGAAAGGCTCAGGATGGACAGGGCTGCATAAGCAGGACCATTGCCTGCAAACTGTCTGGAGCTCTTCCTCCATGCTCTTCAGCAGGGGTGGCCTCTGGGAAGCTGGGTCTGGTGCTAGGCAGTTTAAGAAAGATGTGGGATGTGTTAGGTAACCACCAGATGCCCCTCCTTGTTGTTTGGGGTGGTTCAGTGACTACTGGGGTGTGGGGAACACAGGTCCAGTCCCACAGGTGGCACAGAAACACCCACCTCTGCTGCTGTCCTTCCCACATCTTCACCTGAAATTGAGGTGCGTGCCTCAGAAAGGACCAGGAATATTTTGTGTCCAAGTTTGAAAGATCCAGGTATTTTTCAGGGTTTGGTACCAAGCAAAGTGACCCCTGCCTCTAGATAACAAACAGTTGGATTTAGTTCATTACAGCTTTGGAGGTCTTGTAAACATGGCCAGTGCCTGGGAAAGAGAACCTGAACATGGAAGTTTGACTGTTCCACCTGCTTGTCTTTATTCACCAAGAAGTTTTGGGAGCCTGTCTGGATTTAGAACAGAGGTTAAAAAAAGAGCCATTTTCTGTGTAACATTTAAATTAATCCAGTCTCACTGAATGTATTTGATGTTAGTGTGTAATGGGATTTCTTGAGCAGAAAGGAACAAACCCCCACTTTTATTTGAAATTTGTTGGAGTCAACTGAGAATTGTAATTTGTACTGAGCAGTTTATAAACTGTAAAGGTGCATCATAGAATCATAGACTGGTTCAGGTTGGAAGGGACCTTAAAGATCATCAGGTTCCAACCCCCCTGCTATGAGCAGGGACACCTCCCACCAGGCCAGGGTGACTAATGGCTTTAAGCAGATGAACTCCTGAGCTAGACAAAAATAGTTAAACATCAGTTGCTTCATCATGCAGAATATATTTATGCAGCGTTAGGTGAGTTATAATTTGTTTTTAATGACAGGGTTACAGGCAGAAGAAATTCCCTTTTGATCCAGGTGATGGGCTGAGAAAGTGCCCACAGAAAAAGCTCCTTGCTCGGAGCTGTGTGGTTGTGGTGGTTGGGCTGTTGCACTGGCTCTTTTGTTAGGGATTGGAATTTAAGACGTTCCTCCTCGTGCTGCATTTCAGCTCTTTTTTATACAACATCCTCAGGGCGGGTACAAAAAGAATTTCACCCAATATGAGTTAAACTTGAATGAAGCTGGAACACTTGTGGTTAGCCTGTCCCCTTCCAGCAGTCAGAGAAGACTGTTTATGCAGACAGGCTCCCTCCTGGGAGCCCTTTTCTCTTTGAAAATGCTGAAACATCGGGGCATGAGCGTGGCAGGAGGCCAGCAGAGCCCTGCTCACCCAGCCTGCAGCTGAGCACGCCAGCACAGAGTGCCCACGCTGCCAGGAGGCCACCTCCAAAACAAACAGTGGCTGCAGCCAGCTCCTCAGCAGAGCCCAGCGCTGGCCCCTCGTGTCTGATGTGAGCGGGGGAGTGAGCTGCTGATCCGGTCTTGCTTAACACTTCGGGAAGGATCCCTGGCTGCAGCTCAGAGCTGTGGCATGGCTGGAGCTGCAGGTCCTGGTAGGTGTTTGCACAGCACCCTCTAGCTATGATGCTGGGAGACGTTTCCCCCCTCACCCACACGGTGGAGGTGCAGGTAGGAGCTGGCACAGAGCAGACCTGTCTGTGCAGCTTCACGCCTTGGCCTCTTCATTCTACCCAGGGGTCTTCTTGCCAGAGCAAATCCAGATTTGCAGTAACCCAAATAATGCAGTGATAGGACTTTTTATAAGGGCAGGCAGTGATAGGATGAGGGGTAATGGATGAAAACTGAGAGACAGGAGATTTTGGTTGGACATGAGGAAGAAATTCTTTGCTGTGAGGGTGGTGAGACCCTGGCCCAGGTTGCCCAGAGAAGCTGTGGCTGCCCCATCCCTGGCAGTGTTGAAGGGCAGGTTGGATGGGGCTTGGAGCAACCTGGGCTGCTGGGAGGTGTCCCTGCCCATGCAGGGGGGTGGGACTGGATGGTCTTTAAGGTCCCTTCCAAGCCAAACAAAATCTAAGATTCTATGATCCAGGCATTTAGCAGGAGGACATATTTAGAAATACGTATTTTTCAAGGCTACAGTGGCCACAGTTGATAAAAGCCACTCAGCTGCACAGCACAGAAGCTCAGAGCCTGGAAGAGGCACAGCAGCTGAGTACTCTGCTCCAAAAACTGCTCCCACAGCTTAATTTCTTTGAGCTATTTAGAGCATGAGGCCCTGGGCAGCTGGAGCTGGGTGGCCTTGCCTTTTGTTCAGCACAGGCACACGCTGGTGTCCTAGGAGAAATTAACATGGTTTTCAGTCAGTATCTGCTTCTAGGACTGATAACACTCGATGTTTGTAGTTATTGCTGGAGTTTTCACAAAAGAACATTTAAGTAGCTCGCTTGATGGTACTCCATGGCTTCAGGTGTTCTCTTGGATGGTGCCAGCCTTGTTGGAAGACACAAGCTTGCTTAATGCTGGCACTGTAAAACCAGCAAGTGAGTCTGACTTTGTTTTTCTTGTTCTTGGTCAAAGGGGACCTGATTCCCAGGCATCAGCAAGTGTTCAGCACCAACCAGTTCTTCAGCGGGGTAAGAATTCCAGACCCGGAGAGCATGGTAAGAGCTCCCTCCAGACACTTCCCTTGAGCCTACTGCTAACCAGCCATCTCTCTGCAGTTCTAAGGAGACATGGACAGAGAAATGTTCCTGCTGCTTTCTACCCAGAGTACAGATACTGTCTGCTTGCAGGTGCAGCTGGAAAAGCCTGCTTCCTCAGTCTGACCAGTCCTTTGCTGCTCAACATTTTTTCCCTGTCCAAAAACTTTGCCAGTGTATACTGGAATATGATGTGGTGCTGCCTGAATCCCTCTCATGACACTTGAACTGACATATTTGTAAAAGCAATAAAAAATGTGCTAAATCTCAGCTCCTTCTCCCCCTTTCTGGTGGCACAGTAGCCAGCCTGCCCACCCTCAGCAGTGCCAGGCAGCTCCCCTCTAAGCACAGGAAGTGACAGATGCATTTTGTGGGGTACAGGTCATGTTGCTATGGAAAGCTGGTTCTCTCTGCCCTGATGAATAAAAACCTTGCTAATATGAGTGCACTCACTGCTTTTTTCCCCTCCAGGAGCCACTGGAAATGAAATTCCCTCATATTTCGTGTTCTGCTTTAGCTCTCATGAAGGTAAGAAAACTGCAGCTGGTGGAGCAGCTCTGCACTGAGACTTAGGAAGTGCAGCCTGGTTTGCTTATCAACTGGTACATGGTATGAGTTGGCTACTGAATTATCAGAGATTAATTGAAAACTGGAGCTGGAGGGGATTTGGAGAGGAGTTGTAATCCAGCCCTCTCTAATCCACTCACCTTTACCATGGAGGTGGGAAACATCATTCCCTTATTACGATGCAGTGAATGGAAACTGTGAGGATGGAGACATGAAAAAGAAGGTGGCTGTTGTAGTTACAGGAACACTGCAACAACACAGCTACTGCCACAGGGGATTCCCCTGTTTAAGAACGTTGTTCAAATGAAAGCTGTGGGATTAACTAACTGGCTTTTGAGGCTTGATGGTTTGCTGCACCTTATGATTGTACCTGCCCCTCTAGCCACCATTTCTGTTACTGCCTTGTGGGGATTGTTCAGTGTTAGCTGCTTTGCAGGCTTCGTGCTGACTCTGAAAAGCTAGACTCTTACAGTTGATTAGAAAAAGAAAGATAAACCTGTGCAAATACTGGTTGGTTGTGGTGAGCAGCTGGAATTGTGCAGACCTGTTTAACCAGTGTTTTGTGGGATCCTTTATTTCATCTTTTCCAAGGGTTGTCTTCATATGGACCCAACAGAGAGGCAGACGTGTGAGCAGCTGCTGCAGCACCCCTATTTTGACAGCTTTAGGGAGGTGGCAGGTCTGGGGAAAGATCATGAAAAAAAGGCTCGGAAACCAGCCAGGCTGACTCGGAAGCACGTGCCAGGGGTAACTTTTTTTTGTTCTGTGCCTAAGGAGGGGACTGGTTCTCTCTGCTGGGCTCCCAAGAGGTGGGGCTGTACTGGTGGTTAGTGGTGGGAGGGAGCTCCTGTGTTGGACACATCTTAATTGTAGCCTGAGGAGCAAATGAATGTCCTGGGTAAAGAGTGACTGAGTGCAAACTTAATTGTGCACCAGAGCTCGTGGGTATAAGCAGCACAGCCATGTGTTGAAGGGCAGGTTGGATGGGGCTTGGAGCAACCTGGGCTGGTGGGAGGTGTCCCTGCCCATGCAGGGGGGTGGGACTGGATGGTCTTTAAGGTCCCTTCCAAGCCAAACAAAATCTAAGATTCTACGATCCAGGCATTTAGCAGGAGGACATATTTAGAAATACGTATTTTTCAAGGCTACAGTGGCCACAGTTGATAAAAGCCACTCAGCTGCACAGCACAGAAGCTCAGAGCCTGGAAGAGGCACAGCATGAGTACTCTGCTCCAAAAACTGCTCCCACAGCTTAATTTCTTTGAGCTATTTAGAGCATGAGGCCCTGGGCAGCTGGAGCTGGGTGGCCTTGCCTTTTGTTCAGCACAGGCACACGCTGGTGTCCTAGGAGAAATTAACATGGTTTTCAGTCAGTATCTGCTTCTAGGACTGATAACACTCGATGTTTGTAGTTATTGCTGGAGTTTTCACAAAAGAACATTTAAGTAGCTCGCTTGATGGTACTCCATGGCTTCAGGTGTTCTCTTGGATGGTGCCAGCCTTGTTGGAAGACACAAGCTTGCTTAATGCTGGCACTGTAAAACCAGCAAGTGAGTCTGACTTTGTTTTTCTTGTTCTTGGTCAAAGGGGACCTGATTCCCAGGCATCAGCAAGTGTTCAGCACCAACCAGTTCTTCAGCGGGGTAAGAATTCCAGACCCGGAGAGCATGGTAAGAGCTCCCTCCAGACACTTCCCTTGAGCCTACTGCTAACCAGCCATCTCTCTGCAGTTCTAAGGAGACATGGACAGAGAAATGTTCCTGCTGCTTTCTACCCAGAGTACAGATACTGTCTGCTTGCAGGTGCAGCTGGAAAAGCCTGCTTCCTCAGTCTGACCAGTCCTTTGCTGCTCAACATTTTTTCCCTGTCCAAAAACTTTGCCAGTGTATACTGGAATATGATGTGGTGCTGCCTGAATCCCTCTCATGACACTTGAACTGACATATTTGTAAAAGCAATAAAAAATGTGCTAAATCTCAGCTCCTTCTCCCCCTTTCTGGTGGCACAGTAGCCAGCCTGCCCACCCTCAGCAGTGCCAGGCAGCTCCCCTCTAAGCACAGGAAGTGACAGATGCATTTTGTGGGGTACAGGTCATGTTGCTATGGAAAGCTGGTTCTCTCTGCCCTGATGAATAAAAACCTTGCTAATATGAGTGCACTCACTGCTTTTTTCCCCTCCAGGAGCCACTGGAAATGAAATTCCCTCATATTTCGTGTTCTGCTTTAGCTCTCATGAAGGTAAGAAAACTGCAGCTGGTGGAGCAGCTCTGCACTGAGACTTAGGAAGTGCAGCCTGGTTTGCTTATCAACTGGTACATGGTATGAGTTGGCTACTGAATTATCAGAGATTAATTGAAAACTGGAGCTGGAGGGGATTTGGAGAGGAGTTGTAATCCAGCCCTCTCTAATCCACTCACCTTTACCATGGAGGTGGGAAACATCATTCCCTTATTACGATGCAGTGAATGGAAACTGTGAGGATGGAGACATGAAAAAGAAGGTGGCTGTTGTAGTTACAGGAACACTGCAACAACACAGCTACTGCCACAGGGGATTCCCCTGTTTAAGAACGTTGTTCAAATGAAAGCTGTGGGATTAACTAACTGGCTTTTGAGGCTTGATGGTTTGCTGCACCTTATGATTGTACCTGCCCCTCTAGCCACCATTTCTGTTACTGCCTTGTGGGGATTGTTCAGTGTTAGCTGCTTTGCAGGCTTCGTGCTGACTCTGAAAAGCTAGACTCTTACAGTTGATTAGAAAAAGAAAGATAAACCTGTGCAAATACTGGTTGGTTGTGGTGAGCAGCTGGAATTGTGCAGACCTGTTTAACCAGTGTTTTGTGGGATCCTTTATTTCATCTTTTCCAAGGGTTGTCTTCATATGGACCCAACAGAGAGGCAGACGTGTGAGCAGCTGCTGCAGCACCCCTATTTTGACAGCTTTAGGGAGGTGGCAGGTCTGGGGAAAGATCATGAAAAAAAGGCTCGGAAACCAGCCAGGCTGACTCGGAAGCACGTGCCAGGGGTAACTTTTTTTTGTTCTGTGCCTAAGGAGGGGACTGGTTCTCTCTGCTGGGCTCCCAAGAGGTGGGGCTGTACTGGTGGTTAGTGGTGGGAGGGAGCTCCTGTGTTGGACACATCTTAATTGTAGCCTGAGGAGCAAATGAATGTCCTGGGTAAAGAGTGACTGAGTGCAAACTTAATTGTGCACCAGAGCTCGTGGGTATAAGCAGCACAGCCATGTGAAAGTCTGGGTTTATCCAGGAATATGCATTCCTGACAGAGAAGGGAGGATAGCTAAACAGACTGGACAGGCCTGTGTAGCTGGTTTAATTTGGAGTTCATAGAATCATAGAATGGTTTGGGTTGGAAGGGACCTTAAAGATCATCCAGTCTCGCCCCACTGCCGCGAGCAGGGACACCTCCCACCAGCCCAGGCTGCTCCAAGCCCCATCCAACCTGCCCTTCAACACTGCCAGGGATGGGGCAGCCACAGCTTCCCTGGGCAACCCAGGCCAGGGTCTCACCACCCTCACAGCAAAGAATGTCCTCCTCATGTCTCACCTAAATCTTCCCTCTTCCAGTTTTGATCCATTCTGCCTTGTGCTCTCACCCCCTGCCCTTGTCCCAAGTCACTCCCCGTCTTTCCTGGAGCGCCCTCAGGCACTGGAAGGTGCTCTGTCTCCCTGGAGCCTTCTCTTCTCCAGGCTGAACGACCCAACTCCCTCAGGCTGTCTTTGTATCAAAGGTGCTCCAGCCCTTGGATCATGTCCATGGTCCTTCTCTGGATTTCCCTGGGATCTTTTTGGTGCTTTTGACTCCCAACTTATGGAGACAGCAAAAATGCCCACTTCCCTGTAACTGCTGATGGGGTGTGATCTCTTATCCAGTTGCAGATGTCACACAGTGCACTGAGAGTTTCTGCAGCTGGAGTTGCCAAGCAAACATCTCCCTGCCATTTCATTCTTTCTGCACTCCAGCCCAAGTCTCCTAATTCAGCCCCATGTTGAGAGTCCTTCAAGCTGACCTCGTTCCCCATGATGGCTGTAACACTGAACTGGTAACATGCAGGGAAGTCTGAGATGGAGGATGGAGGAATGCTGGAGCATTTAAACTCCTGGATCAATTCACCTCTTCCATCCCTATGAGATAGGATATAACAGTGATACTTTTCTTTCCCTGCATGACTGGAATAAATCCCTTAACCATCTGGTGTGGTTGCAGTCCACTTGCAGAACACCAGATCCACAACTCTTTAAGTCTGACAAGTATAGGGTTGCAGTATGAATAGTTTTACAGTTTATATTCCTTTCTGAAGAATGATCTGTATGCTTTGGTCTCATTCCAAACAAATCCGCACCATATCACTTTTCCTTCAGTTACAGTACCTGCCCCAGCTCACCAGCAGTAACGTTCTGCCAGCTGTGGACAGCAAGAAGTGCTGCTGCAAAACAAGGAACTCTAACTACCACTTCCCCAACATCTAAGGGATGGCAGATTAAAAACTTTTTGTTCAACTCGAGTCATTCGGAATTGATAAAAGGAAAATTTGTGGTGGAAAACTAAACTCACACCTGTTGTGACACAGCCAGAAGTGGTCTGTGAAGTACTTGGGGTCACGGATGGAAGGGAAGGGACACTTTATCATCCTTCATCCTTCCTTGCATTATGACATGGTTTTTACTTGCTGTTTCTGTCCATAGTGAAGTCATTTGCCCATAGCATTACAGAAATTGTTTTCATCAAAACTAATTCATTAATATCATTTATAACACTGGCCAGACACAGGCAGAAATCCTGCCTGAGCATCTGTACTAGAATGATTCTTGTCTTTGTGTAATCTCACAATATTGTGTTGGTTTGGAATAAAGGAAATGTAGCTTGTTTTTCCAATTTACTGGATGTGTTTTAGTGTGTGAAGTTTTACTCCTGGGCAAGGAAGAATCTCCTTCTACTTGAAAACTAGAGCAAACGTTTTCTTTTCCCAGTGCTGTTGTGTGTTCAACAACAGGACAAGCAATTCCAATGGGACAGATGCCATATCCTCACAGAGCGTGGCTGCCTCCCTTTTATTTCACATTATATTTGAATGCATTTTAATCTTGAGCACTGTGTCCATAGGTAGTTTTGGCTACACTCAGAAAGCTTTGGCATCCCAGTGTTTCGTCTGTGGATAATTCAGGCACATATCCTGCTGGTGGGCAGGGAAGCAGCAGGGCAGGGAGGGCAGCAGCAGGGCTGGGAGCAGTGTCCAGCCTGGCAGGCAGCTCCTGGACATGACTGGGGCAGGGCAGCCTGGAGGGAACTTCACTCCTGGGCACTGTTCCTGCCCGCGCCGCGCTCGGCCATACCAAGGGGAACCAGCTCCGCGTTGCACTAGTGCAGAATGTGATCCCTTCTGCTGCCTGGCATTCCTTCCTTCAGGAGTGAGCTGACTGCCAGGGATAAGGAAAGCGACTCTTGGGTATGCAAAGGAAGCCACGTCCGAGACATCACGCTGAAATCTGCTCTCTTGGTGTCACTGCCTACAGCCTTTCTCTCCCCTACCATCCAAGCCAGGAATTGGACTAAAAATGTTACATTCTTCCTGAGGATGAACCATTCTCTTCTTTAGCAGGAGTGGTGGGGCTGCAACTGCAGAGAACTAATTTAGTCTGTGTCAGCATACAGCAAAACTGCTTGCAAGGGCATGTCTAAGAGAGCCTGCTTCCTCCACACACAGCCAGGGTCAGCTCCTCAGCTCAGGTTTTATGTCTGTAGCTGGACAGATCTGAAACAAACAAAGGATTTGAAACAAACAAGGGCTACATGAGTCAAAACATAGAGAGCAGAAAAAAGGCCCAGAGGAGATTTTATTAAATCAGCACCCACTGCCTGGGTGAGATGCTCCAGGAGTAAACAGCTCTCATTCCCACAGCCTCAACACCACACACCAGAAGTGCACATCCTGCTGTGTCACAAGCCTGGCCACCTTTCCCTGGGCACTTTGCACAAGAATTTCTGTGTAATAAAATATTTGAAAACTTCTATTTGAGGTATTAACAGCTTCCTGTACGAACACGCTGCCTTTTCTGTTGAAGCTTAAAACTGAATTGCACAGAAGATTGCATACAGCTTTTTAGGCTACATTGGGAGATTGGGGCTTAATTCCATACCTGGAAACACAGCAGCATCTGCAACTTCATTTATGAAACATGATAAATACTGTGAAATCAAATACACCTTAGTTATGTGCAATTGTGTTTATTCTAAATCCAGCTCCAGCTCTAGGTTTGGCAGTGCCTGCTGAAGGACGTGAACAGTAGTTTCTTTCTGTTTTACTCCAGGAAGGTCACTCAGATACAGATATTCAAGGTTCCTATAAATATTTAAAAATAAAAGTCAGCAACTACTATTTAACTGTTAACACAGAAATTAGATTAAGGATCATTCTACTACAGCTCTTCTGAGTATTTTAAAAGGTTACTGAATCTAACACAAGTTTGTTTTTTTTCTGAAGTGGGTGCTTTGAGTTTTTAGTTCACCAGAAGTTCAGTCTTTCAACACAGCTTAAAAAGTGATCCTGCCCTCCCCCAGGAGTAGAAGCCAAGGCGATTGTTACTTTCTTATTCTCAAGCAAACCCCACCTCGTGTATCAACATGAAAGACATCTGAACACATGTACTGCTCTGGCAAAGGCTGTGTGGCAGCAGTGTCCAGCTCTAATTGATGCAGCAATCACCATTGCCTAATTAACGCAGGTGTAAATGGAGATGCCGTGCCCAGCTCTGAGGACAGCAGCACAACTATGGATTCACATCCTGCAGTGGGTGATTCTGGCTTTCCCAGTGCTATATAACTCCCTGACCTTGGCCTTAAAAAGCTGATTAATAGGTGTGTGTTAATCCACATGTCTTTTTAGAGCTATCCACAACCCTGTCTTGAACCACACTTGAAGAAACACTTCCTGCAGTGGCAGTGCCACCCCTCCCAGGCTGTCACTCAGGTCTGTCCCCAAACCCAGCCACCCCACAGCCCCCCACATCTGACACATCATAGAAACACTCAGACTTTGGCCCTTCAGCCAACACAACCCCCAAACCACGGGGTGGCAACAGCCAGGGAGCAAGAAGAGCTCAGCAGCTCACATACGTCAGCTTGTGAAGCGCTATGATGCCTTTATCTGTGACATTCCCACAGGAAATGATCTGCAGCTGGAGGAGACTCTTCTGGAGATTCTTGGTCTCGCTGAGCCTCTGCAGACACTCATCCTGTATGTAAATACACTTCTGCAGCTTGATTTCTGTGACATGTTCGAGACCATCTGTACAGACAGAAACGAGTTCTTGCTTCAGAATACCAGGAACAACCTGTCCTCATCTTCTCACCCTGCTCCTCTGTACACTGAGGCCATCATGCACCATGAAGCTCCCAAGTCCCTTTGGGACTTCAAATATATAAAAACCCCAGAGTTTGTATCCTTTGGATAAGATTCTAAGAGCTTTGACATGAGCAAACAACAAGAAAAGCTCCACAAGTTGGGGAGATGCACCGTGACTGAATTAGGAACATACTAATGCAAGAAATTCAAGGTCTCCTGTCAATAAAAAAAAAGTCTGCTCCCCATTTCAATTTTTGTTATTTAAAGGAGACCTGAAACAAACTCTTATTTTGTAAGAAACTGAGAGCTTTCTGCCTTTTTTTTGTCTTTGAAGACACCACAAATGCCTGGAGAACAAGCAGTATTATAACTTCACAGACACCATAAACTTCGTTTAGAAGAATGTTTAAAGTAGTGTTTTTGGCTGCCAACCACTTTACTATGAACTCAATGGAACAGCAAATCTTTGTTGTGCTTCCTTAGTGCTACTGTCACTTCAGGTAAGGGCCTCATGGAACTTCCCAATCTCATTCTGCTCCCCCTTAGGAACTCCTGAATATCCAATGAGCCATTTTAAGGGAAATAAATAAAAAAAACAACAAAACAAACCACAAAAACCCCACAACTATTTCAAAAGACTTCTCTATATCTTTGTAAGGAACGAGGAAACGACCCAGTCACAACTGGAAAGAACTAAGACTCTCCAGCACAACTTTTGCCCAGCTGTGTCTACCTTACCCAGGTAGTCGAATCCTCTGTACATGATGCACGAGTCGGTGGCATTAATTGCCTCTATCTTGTACTTCCCCAGGGGCCCCGTGGGGAGACCACTGTAGTCCTGCTGCCATTTCTGGTAGCCCTGGTAGCGCACCAGGGCCCCGCAGCGCAGCAGCCACTCCGAGGCTGCCCTGTCAGGGCCCACGGCTCGGATGCGCTCGTAGTCCACCCTGGCAGGACAGAAAGAGCATCCACACGGTCTCTGTAACGTGGCAGATTTGTCATCTTGATGATAAGAACACTGCACGAGAAGTATTTGGGTCTGGTAAGACATCCGAGAAGTGAGAATGTTATTTCATGGAAGTGGTTTGTGTGTCACTGCAGAATCACAAAACTCTCATGGTTGGAAAGGGCTTGTGAGATCACCGAGTCCAACCATCAACACAGAAAAACCCCCACAACCTTGGCCATTAGGGCAGTGAGGGGAGACCTCACTGCTCTCCACAACTACCTGAAAGGAGGTTGTAGGGAGGTGGGAGTTGAGCTCTTCTCCCAAGTGAATAACGACAGGACGAGAGGAAATGGCCTGAAGGTGCACCAGGGGAAATTTAGACTGGATGTTAGAAAGAATTTCTTTACCCAAAGAGTGGCTGGACAGTGGAAGAGGCTGCCCAGGGAGGTGGTGGAGTCACCATCCCTGGAAAGTGCTTAAAAGAAATGTAGATGCAGTGCTTAGTGACACCATATAAGCACTGAACAGGTAAACTAGGTTATGGTAGGGGGATTTAGGTTATGGTTGGACTTGATGACCTTCAAGGTTCTTTCCAACCAGGATGATTTTATCATTCCGTGTCCTGAAGTACCAAATCTACACAGCTTTTGGTGACTCCACCACCTCCCCGGGCAGGCTGTTCCAGGGCCTGACCACTCTTTCAGTAGCAAAATTCTTCCTAATACTCAATCTGAACCTCTCCTGCTGCAACTTCAGGCCATTTCTTCTGGTCCTGTCGTTATTTACCTGGATTCATTAAATCATAGAAGAGACATGGAAAAGACCTTCAAGATTATCAAGTCAAACCATTCACCCTACAATCCCTAACCATTAAACCATCTCCTGAAACACCACATCCACCTGACTGTGTTATTTCTTTTTTTGATGAAAGTGCCATTTTAAAAAGTGTAAAAAACCCCCTTATCTCATACTGGTTAAGAACCAGCACAGTCAGGTTTTTCACACTTTTTTAAATGGCAGCTACTTTTGGTAAAAAAAGAAAGAATATAAATGCAACTTGACTTGGCATGTGTTAACCCTTCTAATTGCTTCCTTCCATGTCCATAAGGAGAGATAAAAAACACCTTTCTCTGCCCAGAATAAGGCTTTATTACCAATTTCAAATTTGTCTCCCAAGCCTATTTTGGTTATATAAAACCTGAACATTGCCTGTCACATGTATGTCATTCCTGAAGCCTC